AGTATGCATGCCAAATTTCAGCTCTCTAGCTTTTGTATCTTCTGAGATCGACGCAATCATACAGACGGACAGGGCTATATCGACTCAGCTCGTCGTTCTGATCAAATTTGAATTTTCGTCGAAAAATCGGCTCGCTTGCCCAATGTGCATTGGATAGCTTTAAAATGCAGCTAACGGAAAGAACCAACTATTTGCTCGAACAATAAGCCAACCCGCAAGATCAACAACGAGGAGTGCAAGTAATATATACAACAATACAATACAAGAAAGACCACAAAGTCTCCACGGTTAAGTCTCAAGAGAAGGCTAACTAAGCTAAATAAAATATTAAATATTAAATCATAATCATGCGAACTTGTGAAATGGCAAAGCTAAGGGCTGTCAACATACCCACGAAAACTAAAAGACCTCTCTGCTGGCGATGTGTTCGGGAAGAAACGCTTGCAAAAAGACCACGATTAGCATTTTAGGTGATGCAACTGCTGATTATTACTAGCCCGCAACTAGCAAGGTTGAGCGCGCAAAATGCGAGCTGATTGCCTATATCGCCAGATGATAGGTCCCGTCCCCATAGTCTCTCGAGCTACTTTCTTATCTGTAATGAGCCTTGGAGCGGGCTTTACAGCTATAAAAGGTTTCAGGCAAACGCAGAATTGGTGCAGTCTGGTTGCAAGCGTTACTTAGCGTAGAATTAGCCAGATACTAATGAATATTTTTAAAACGAAAGAAATGTACGATTCAAGCCGTTCGGGATTGGTACTCCAGTTTTTAATGCTAGCAGCCCTTGGCATTGTCTGTTCGCAAGGTGAGGTAAATGCTTTTTAATTGCTAGGAGCAGATTAATATTATTCAACTTCCAACAAGCTCGACTATCTGAGATCTACTTCAATGATATAAGAGCAGAAGAAGCAGCCGAACAGGCAAGTGGAAGCTACAACTATGACCAACAAGGTAAGGATTGGGAAGGAACCTGTCAAGATGGCTTGCAGCAATCGCCAATCGCATTGAGCAGCAGTCAGGTAGCTAGCTAACCGGTCTCTAATACCTTTTAAGGCTTATAACCCCCGTTACCTCTTGCTAGGCCATTGTAACCAGTGCACGGCGTATAGCTTTTTACAACTATGACGAGACTCTGCAGTCACCGTTGGTAATGACAAATAATGGACACACAGGTGGGCGGTTGGTTCAAGTGATGAGTGACTTCTAAAGAAACATATTTTACTTACCTCAGCGAACATTGTATTGCCTCCTACACGCAACGGACAACGTCCTTATATCAATGGAGGATTATTGCCAGGCACCTTTGAAGCTCAAAGTGCCCACTTTCATTGGGGCTCTTCCAGCAGCAAGGGCTCTGAGCATACCATTAACGATAACCGTTACGATGTTGAAATACATATTGTCCATAAGAACCTACGCTATTCCGATAAAACGGTAGCCGAAGCCAGCGAGTACTGGGATGGCCTAGCTGTTTTGGGAGTTATGCTCAGGGCTGTAAACAGAGTGCTCTCGCCGCATTTGGGGCTAATTGGGATCTTTAATCAATTGCCTCAGATTGCTCAATACGGATCAAGTACCAATTTGACTGGCCGCTACTCTGCCCAGCAACTACTGGCCAGCGTTAACACTAACCATTTTTACTCATATAATGGTAAGTATTGTAGGAATATGTCTGCACATGCTAATCCCATGTCAACTCTCCTCTATCCTGTAGGATCATTAACCACACCCGACTGCGCAGAATCCGTCACTTGGACTGTCTTTGGAGAAGCTGCCAATCTACCTAGACGACACATCAGCAAATTCTGGGACTTACAAGACTCGCGTGAGCAATCTTTAGTAAACAACTACCGCGCTATTCAAGATATTAATGATCGACCCGTCTACTACATTCCTAAATAATTGAAAAAATGAATAACCAACACAATAAAATTTACTGAATATGTGCAAAATTTAAATGGTATGAAGTGAATTCTTTGCCGAATGCCATCTCACTCTCACTCGACAACACCCGGAGCTACGATTAAAGACATCAGAGCTCTAATTGCGTCACATCCACTTTACAGGTTTAGAGTGATGCACATATCTGATAAGAAAGCTAAATTCCATACTATTTTTATATGTGTAACTCCCAGTCAACACCCTTTAGTTGTCATGGT